GCGCCATTGGGCCCACCTGTGGGCCGGTGGCACTTAAGGGGTTAAGATTCCTTACAGAGAACAACAGGCCGTCTGAAGCGTCTTACCTTCAGCTCCAGCGCTGTGAGATGCTCAGAGGACCGCTCTGATTGCTCCACCTCAGGGACGAACAGTTTCTGAGCGGGAAACGAAACGTTAGGCTTTAGGTTTAACTGAGTCACCGATCAAAGCGCAGGAGAGGAGTCTCACCTGTCCAGGTACGACGCTGAGCGAGTAGAGACGGTTCAGTTGCACCAGTTTATTCGGAGTGATGTTGAACTTCAGAGCGATGCTGTTCAGAGTGTCCTTCGCTCCGACCTGACCAGTTCAAAACGCATCAAAGATAAGCAGTTTATTGATGAGATGAGCAGCGTTTATACAGCGAGACGAACTCACGGTGAACTCCACGGTTCCTGGAGGTTTACTTCTCGCTTTCTTGGTCTGGCCGCATGATTTACTGATTTCATCTGAAAGAAGAGATTCAAAACACTCATTAAATACACAGACACTTATTACTGCAATTACTACTTGCTGAGAAAAACACTGAATAAAATGTAAATAATACATTCATTGTGCAGCGTAGAGAGCTTCTTTAATCATAATGGAACTAAGAGTGATGTGATATTGTGATATTTAATTTATACAAGAGTTTATAGGCCTACATCTTTGATTTTATGCAAAGGTTAATGTTCAGTGAATAACAAGTTAGGATCACTATCGTCTATCTCGTCACTGAAAATACAACGTCACTGATTCAACCCATTCATAAACACAGTCACTTGCTTCGTTCCTAAACGAATCAGCCGTTCAAATGAATCGAGTAAATAAATGATTCAGTGATTCAGTGACAAAGACAGTGGCTTGCCGCCACCTACTGGTGGTTTCGGTTTCATTTTTAAAGTATAAATTGAGTTATTTAAATCGTTTAATATTTCTATATTCAAAACATTCATCTTATAACATGGCTATTATGAATGTAAATGCATTCATGCCACCTCTGAGCCTCGTTAAGCAGTCTGTAAATAGTCTGTTGATGCTGATTTCATTTGACTGGTGACTTATTCTTCCTGATTGTATCATATTATTTTAATTGAATTTACTGTTTAATTAACATTTTTGATAAAAGTTTATACATATAATTTTTTTTTTTACACAAAAGATGACATAGTTAGAAAAAATGGCATTTAAAAAAATGTTTAAAAAAGCCCCTGCAAATCAGCTTAACCCTCAGGATCCTTCGGGATGGGCAAAACCTTTTTTTAATAGTTTCCTTAATCTGAGCGACACAAGACTTGGTTACTTTTCGTTTTCGTTACTAAGTTCGTTACAACAATGGTTTATAGATATGCAGCCATTGAGTACTACTGCCAAATAGTGTCTATTGATATTTTTTATATTTTTATACCACCATATGTCAGCAGATGTCACCAAAGTCACCAAATTTGTAGGTTTTGGCTGTCTGAACTTACTGGAATGATTTTTTTTATTTTAAATTTTTTTTACTGAAGTAAAATAAATATTAAATATAACGTAAAAATAAGAATATTTTACATTAAAAAATCTGTTACTTTTAGAGGTAAATAAATTAAAAAACAAATAAAATCATATTTTTTTAAAACTAAAGTAAAAGAAATATTAAATATAACATAAAAATAAGAATATTTTACATAAAAAATATTTGTGGTAAATAAAAAAAAATAAAAAAATCACAATTTTTTTTTTTACTAAAGTAAAAGGAATATTAAATATAACAAAAATAAGAATATTTTACATAAAAAATCTTCTAGAGGTAAATAAATAAAAAAACACAAAACAAATCACAATTTTTTTTTTACTAAAGTAAAA